GCCCGGCGCGGGGGGGGGCGGTGTCCCGGGGCGGGGAGGGGGGCCGCAGGCCTCGGCCGCGCAGGCCGGGGAGGGCCCTGCAGGGAACGCTGGTAGCAGGCTGCCTTCTAGCGGGGTTGGGGCGGCAGTCTCGGCGCACCGTGTGATCCGTCTGCTTCTTCCCCACAGAAAGGGCTTGTCCCAGTCAGCCTTGCCCTACAGACGCAGCGTGCCGACGGTAAGTGCCTTTCCCGCCCCGTGCGCACTTGGGCAGGCCCGGGCGGCTGCCGTGTGGCCTTCAGCGCGGGGCCCGGCTCCGTCCTCCGGCTTAGCAGTGCCCGGGAAAAGAAACAAAATGAAGAGACCTGTAGTATTTTGCGTCATCGCTTTAAAATTATGGCCTAATAAAACGGTACTTTAGCCTGTGGTCTTTAGGATACTGAGAAAGCAAGTATGGTGTCTCGGCCAGATGATTTGTTGGGCAAAAAAGTCTCTCTTCCTCTTTGTGCCTCCCTTTATTTAAGTGCTACTTCAATTATTCTTAGTCTGTATGCTGATAATTCCTAGAGATTAAATAACTCTCTTCATGCTCGAGTTTCGCCTTGGCCGTTGTGGAATAAACCGACTGTTTTCTAAACTGTTTACAACAGTAATTTGCTGGTCAGAGCACTGACTTAAGTAATGTCAGCATGCCCTTAGTTCATTCAGGGTACTTCCACTTAAAAGGCTTACCTGTCAGCTAAACGAGCAGCTGCTTCATCTGTCCTGCTTTGAAAGATGATGTCTTGGAGGATCTGTTTGTTGGCAGAAAGATCAATTTGGGCTGCATGTGGAAAAGCATGTATTGAAAAACAGTTAAAGGGAAGCATGAAGTTAAAACACAAAACATGAAAATAGATACAATGTAAAGTAAGATAATGTGAAGCTGCTTGAAGTACTGCTGATGACTTAACAGTTTAATAATGATTAGGATGCTCAAATGCTATACTTGTTTTAAAAAACCTTGTGGGTTTTTTGCTTAATTTTATTTGTATTCTGTTTTGAATTGTAATCTATAGAGCACTTCCAAATATATTTTTCTCTGTGGTTTTCTATTTCATAACGTCACAGTATTAAAAAGGAAAAAAAAATTAGGGGCTTCTGTAGCTTTTCGAAAGAGCAAGGATTACCTAGCTTGTTGGTATTGTCTTCCTCTTAATAATTATGGAAGCAGTGGCTCTATCAGCACAGTTTAACATAGAAGTAATAGAAAAGGCACAGTCCTATCTGAATAGGTCCACTTGTTTCAATTTTTTAATTAATTTGTGTACTTAGAGTCTGATTTTCACTAATCTCTGTAGGTGCTTTACTAAGGGATGGCTAAATGAATCTCAGTTTTGCGTTTTTGTCAAAGGCCCGATTAAAGAAGAGTTCCCTCCCAATGGCAGTGATTTTTTGCTCTATAAATTGGTATTCGTGCTTCCGGTGTGGCAGTTAAAGTAAACTGATGATAAAGCAGCTGGCTGGAAGCTATATGGGGTGTTTTAAACAAAGACTTTCTTCCTTCACCTTTGCCTTCCCCCACCATGTTGCATTAGCAGTACAGGTTCATAATACATAAAAAAAGTTTTCTGTATCATTAGAAGTACAGTTTAAGTTCTTGATTGTTTTTTCAAACACTACAAAGCATCTATTTCTGCCATTTATAACAAGCTTTCATATAGCTAGCCTATGCCCCTGTATTAAGCAGTGTTCATGAGTTGTTGGGTTTTTTTTTTCCTAATTTTCTTTAGTGGCTGAAACTTACTTCTGATGATGTAAAGGAACAGATCTACAAGCTGGCTAAAAAAGGCCTGACTCCCTCACAAATTGGTAAGGTTTATTAAAAATTCCTAAATGAAGACAAAACACATTTTTCTGAACATAATAATATAATTGTTCCTTCAACCTATGTTAAATAACATGCTAAGAAAATACAGGTTTTCTGATGTACCTATCTATTCGCTGTGTGGATGCCACTAAAAATGTAATATGTCTCATTCTTGCAAGAAGCATATTTGCTGAAGTAGTCGAGTATTTTTTTTTTTCAAGCAGAAAATGTGAAGCATCTGTTGAATTTTATAACCTGTCCTTAGGAATGGCCACTAACAGATGTTGTAGGGAAGTTTAGTTGCCCAGTTTCTGGGAGAAAAACTCGACATCTCATCTCAAATATCGGCAGCCGTATGTTTAGGAGCTCAGCATTACTGAGCCAGGCACTGTAGCTGCATAATAGACTAGTTCTCAGTAGTTTGGACCCCTCTAGAGCTCTGCTTAAGCGTACGCGTGCTGCAACTTGATATGGTCCCGAGCTATGCAGTGTAATTATATGCTATGTGAATGACTTTTTTTTTTTTTTTAATTGTAATCCTGAGAGTAGTAATGATCCCTATGGTACATTTTTTTAGAGTAAATATGTCTCTGGCATCTTTGTTAACCACAGAGAAAAGGGTGATTAATACCTAGCTTTACTGAGTCCTGTTGAAAATTTCCCCGTACTGCAGCACTTAATGTGTTACCTGCCTAAATGTGGTGGGTGGGTTAACTGTCTGTTACGTGCTATCTGATAAAGTGCTTCAGCTTCTGTAAGTCCTGTTTTGCTCGCTCATTGCCTACCATTTGTTCGTAGTTTCCACCAGAAAGGTTTTTAATTTAGAGAAGACCTTTTTTGGATATCTTGTAACTGTAAGGCTGGTTTCAGGAGATTTGTTTGCATAAGGTTTTTCTTTTCAGTGTGAGATGTAAATGTTTGTTTCAGGTGTGATCCTGAGGGATTCCCATGGTGTTGCCCAGGTTCGCTTTGTTACTGGCAACAAAATTTTGAGAATCCTTAAATCAAAGGGACTGGCCCCAGACCTTCCAGAGGATCTTTATCACTTGATTAAGAAAGCTGTTGCTGTTCGCAAACATCTTGAGAGAAACAGAAAGGTGAGTGCTAATTTAAGTAGATAACTCTCAGTGTTTGGTTTTTTTTCAAATAATGCAGTAGTTTATTTACAAGGCACGGACTCTTAAGTGTACTTCCTGTTAGCCACCCCCTTTGAGTAAACTGGGGATTGGGGCAGCATTTCGGTAAAGGAGAACAGTCTTTGTCTGTGAAAAGGATCTTAAAAGCATTGCTTAAACCATGTATTTCTGGTCCTGCTCTGATTTGACTGGATTCATCAGACTTTGGTAGTGGGAACGTGGAGTTCGTAGCAGTAGCTGTGGTTTTTTTACTTCATTAAAGCTCATCTGAATTGTACATCATGGAGAAGTCAGGTAGTGCTCGATTGTAACGTAACTTTCTTTTCAAGGATAAAGATGCCAAGTTCCGCCTGATTCTGATTGAAAGCAGAATCCACAGGTTGGCTCGCTACTACAAAACTAAGAGAGTGCTGCCGCCTAATTGGAAGTAGTAAGTCTTCTTGAATGCTACTGTTCTCATCGAGGTCTTGTAGGTTTTGTGAACAAGATGCTGGGGCTGCTATTCAAAGGGTGAAGAGTGCATTATGATCAGGCATATAGGTAAACCAGGCAGCAAAGAATAGCTATTTTCATAAATATTAACTGATAAATTAATAGAACTTACTGCTGGGTGCAATGACTGTCACAACACTTGGAAAAAATAATTGTCTCAACAAGTGAAGTCACTGGTAGGTAATTTTTATAATACTTTTGTACAAACTGCAGTCTCTGTTCTCGCTCAGATACTTTTATAGTTCATGTTACTTTAAAAATTTACTGAGAAATGGCTTAGATGTGGCAAAAATGAAAGTCATTTGTAGTTTTTCTCCAGGAAAATTTAGCCAACACAGGAGAATTCCCATAGATGTCAGGATGAGCTCTTTTTCTGAAAAGACTCAAGTGCAACTAGCCAGCTTTTTGAATATATGGTTTTGTGCTGTTATCCTAGTATTTGTCTTTTAAAAGGAAGGGTGAAATCTTTCTTTATGCCATAAAAAATTTTAAACGGTTAGTGGTTAAGCTCACGACTGGTAGTTAAAGCTTTTAACTGAAGCAGTATTTTTGGCAACTGGTTCAGAAAAACTGCCTTTGCAATTAATATTACTCTCTCTTCTTCTCTCTTTTTAGTGAATCATCGACAGCTTCTGCCCTGGTCGCATAAGAGCTGGCTATGACTTACTGAAAGAATAAATTTTCATTAACTAAGTTTGTGTTGTCTCTAAATGGTTGGTGCCTTACAAACTTTTGCCCCTTTCAGGAAGCTGCATGTAAACGCGCAGCTTGCGAGGTGCAGCAGACATGTGGCCATGGTTTCCATATTGCTATTCTATGGTGTCAAATCTGGGTAGCGGTTGTTGCTGTTCTAGACCAGCTGTACAGCTTGTTTCTGTGCTTAAACTAGATTTTTGATCTGATAGCCTCAAGTTAATAAAGTGACCTGCAAATGTATTTTACGCACGTGGGGCCGTTCCTCTCTGTGTCCTGCGGGAAGAACCAGGGAAGAAAACAATGGTAGAAGGAAGAATTGGAAATGTAGAAAACGCAGAAAGGATTAGGCGGGGGGCCAGGGGCGAGAGGGAGACAAAATTGGAGAGGTTGATGGAGTCATTGCAGGTCATGTGGATCTGCTCCTTGTGCAGAAAGCTTAAGCAGACCTCAATCAGTTCCTGACAATAACTGTTGCTGTCATTTGTAAGTAATTTTAAGAATAATCTTTGAGATTTGGGTAAATACAGACAGCGGATTAGCTCTCCTCAGATGTTATGTCTTTACTGAGGTAGTTTTCCCTAAACCCAATGGGCAGTGGCTGTTGCATAGTCACTATCGCTGAGGTGGTGCCTCCAGGTTCTGAATAGCTTTGACCTTAAGAGTCATCTTTCTGCTAGAGAAATGTGGAGAACAGACTGACAGCTTTTCCTTTTTTTAGGAGAAAATTATAAATTGAGTTATTCTGAGCTGCTGTGACTGTTGCTTCTAAGTCTTGGTGTATTAGTTAACTTTTTGCCATGTTAAAAATTTAAGTAAATATAAATAAGCCCTAACATTTTTGTAAAGTGTAATAGCTACTTTCTAGATCATAACCAGTGGAACCTGGTAACTTCTGGATTTAATTTTGCAGAAAGACAGGATTCCTCTGCCCTGATGATGAAGCTAAATATAGACTTGTGATTAAGACAGTTTTAAAAGAAAAGCACTGCACTCCGTTGAACTCTGAGGTGCTCTAAAGTCTGGTCCATCTGAAATGTTAAAATTACCAGCCTCTGTATGCTGTCAAAAGACTTGCTTTCGTTTCTGAAAGCTTCTGGTGATTACGTGCCAGGCTCTCACAATGATAACTAAGTGTTCTGGGACGTAGGTGCGATAAACCGCTTTCATGATATAAAAAAAAAAAAAGTTGCTGTGAATCTTTGGGGTTGGAGGTATTGCCAGCTTTTCAGTTGTGCGTTTCAGCATGCTGACGCTCCTCGTGGCTCTGAAGTAGCTGTATGTAAACAATGAAAGTGCCAGCAGATGGCACTTTGAGACACGACTGCTTTTAAAAAGTTACATACTGCAAATCGTGCCGCCTAGGGATCGAGTGTCCGGGCTGATGGCCCAAGCCAGGGAACAGATGATGTATATAGAATTGTAATACTGCTACGTATGTGGTGCCAACAGCAGTTTTGAGCGCAGTGTGTTGAAGCTTATGCAGTTCTTATATTTCATGCTGCTGGGGTGTTTTGGTCCGAACACGATCTGTACTGTGTCTCTTCTGGCGCTGGTTTGCTAGGGGGGGCTGGGCTGCGCTCGTGTGGCATCTCGCCCCTCCAGTGGCGCTGAAAGCGGCTGACCGTGCTGGAAGAAGAGGGAAGGGCAGGTGCTGTTGCTGTGATGGGGTCTGTCCCACAGGGGTGGAGGAGAGGGGCAGTACCATGTAGTGAGTACTACTCGCCGGAATGAGACTGCCCAGGGACAAATCCTGGGCTTGCAGTAAGGTCAGATCCAGGTGCTGAAGGCGCTCCTGAGGATAGAGTGAGTGGTACACCAGATTGACTGCCTGTAGAGCTGGGCAATCTCTTGTCGAAGAACAGTAATGGTGTTGTGATTGTACTGTTATGCACATATATTTCTACTGCTTACGTTGCATTACTTACATTTCTATTACTTACGTTACTTACTTTACATCTTACATTAAGATACTGTATTTCCTGTAAATCCTACAGCCTAGCTTAAGTAAGCTGTCTGTCCTCACTAAGACTGTCAGCCCCTTACCCTTTGGTTGCCAGAAGAGGTACGCTGTCAGTGGAACTCGTTTGCCCCAGGGCACGCAGGTTGTCTGCTCGGCAGCTGGCGCCACGGGGCAGCGGATGCCTGCCTGGGCGTGGGAACAGCAGAGCCGAGGCACTGGCAGGGGTAAATTCTGCCGGGGGAGTGGACCCCTGCCAAGCACAACACCGAGCAACGCGTTTGACAGCGCGTGTCTGAAGAGAGGAGTGTGGGACCAGGAGGAACGTGGTCCTGCGGAAGCATCAGGTAAGCTTACCGCTCGGGGCTGTGGTACAGGCCTGTGCCTGGGTGGGAGTGAAACTCTCTCGGGTAGTCTCTGAAGTCTCCTGGACTTGTGATCCAGCTGCCCAGGTACAATACAGGTCGCGGGTGCCCAGGAGAGTTAGTGGAGTCTTTCCTGCTGCTCTGGGTAAAGGTACTATAACTTCCCTTGGCTGGACAGATGTGATAACGGGAGTAAACCCAGATCTGCAAATAGTTGGCAAAATTAATTCTTTATATGAACCAGCACAAACCTTCTCTGACCCATGGTTGTCTCCAGGCACTGCCCTGGCTTCCCTTTCCCCGGCAGCCTGGGGTGTTCACCGGGCTTTGGGCTCCACTGCCCTCCTGCTTTCTCCCGTCACAATGTCTCATCTCTTTATGGTTTCTTTTGCCTTGGCTTAACCTTCAGAAGCTATGTTCCTGCTTCTGCCTCATTCCCAGCAGCCTTTTCTGAATTTCCAGTGTTAGTCTTTTCCTCTTGCGGTATTTTTTTGTTCTCCCAGCAGGTACAAATCTGAGCGATGATAATTTTTATCCCAACGTGAGCTTTTTCCTGTGTTGCACCAGAGCACGCATCAGAAAGGAGCTCACAGCCCGCCCCTTGCAGCTCTCTTGGCCGCTGTGGCGCAGTGAAGCCTGCCCTTCCTTCGTCAGAGAGGTGCAGCCGCAGGGCCTCTGCCTCCACAGCGAGCCGTGGCACCCGGGGCCCCGCTGGCAGCCTCCCTGTGCTTTGCTGCTCCACACCAGGCGTGTTCGCGTGGCGAGTTTGGTTCACAAAAGCCTCCCGCTGGACTTCAGCCCTTGCCAGCTCCGCAGCTCTTCCAGGGCTGTGGGGTGTATGGCAGAGGCTGAGAGGCTTCCCTGTGGCTGAGAAACAACCGGTTTTGAAGGCTGGCTGCTGAGGCACCCTTCCTCTTGCAGAGCCCCCGGTGGCCAGGGCTGTCTGCCAGTTCCCGGGAAGGTTTGTCGTTGGGTTGTCTTAGGAAGAGTAACGATTCTTGGAGTCGCTGCCGGGTCGCTGAGTGTGCTGAGTAGGGATCGGGTTTACTTCAGGTCTGAAGCATCGAGTTCTCCATTGGACATGGCACAGGGAGGTGGCACGAGGGCATTCTTTGGGTTATAGGTTTTCTTTCTAAACCACCTGTTTTCTCAGGAGCATGAAGCTCTTCCCTCTCTTGCCTCCCGTTTGCCTGCACCTTTCTTCTTCTCTAAACACACACACCCCCCCAGCCCAAGTTTCTGTGCTTTAAGTGTTTGCCCTGATATTTCTGGCTGTGTGTCCGAGTTCCTGTTAAGGAAATTCCCCCCCCCCCCCCCCTTTTTTTTTTTTTTTTTTTATTAC